TTGTCAGCAAAGGGCCCGACGCTGGGCTCAAACTCACAAACTGTGAGATCATGACCTGAACTGAAGTCAGATGCTTAACCGACTGAGCCACCCAGGCACCCCACAGATTTTACTTTTAAATACACTTTTGGTCACATGCCCATGCTTAAACCAGGTACCATAACCAGCAATTTGAGATATGCTGATTAGACATGGCTGCATCACATGTCTTTTCCTTTATCTATGGCAGTAATTTCAGCTAAACCTACACCAATTGGACTAAGATTGAAGAATGGGTTTTTCCCTCAAGAAAATCAAGGTGCTATTATCAAAAGTACATTAAGTGGAAACTAAGCAGGCAAAACCAAAACCCATCATCTGTTCTCCAAAAAAAAAAAAAAAAAAAAAAAAAGAACATCTTAATCTGTGCCCTCTTTCATTTTTTTAAATGTTTATTTGAGACAGAGAGCGCACAAGCAGGGGAGGGGCAGAGAGGATAGGACAGAGGATCCCAAGTGGGCTCTGTGCTGACAGCAGAGAGTCCAGATGTGGGATTTGAACTCACAAACCATGAGATTATGACCTGTGCCACAGTCAGTCACTCACCTGACTGAGCCATCCAGGCACTCCATGTGCCCTATTTCTTATAGGAAAAAATCAAAATTCAATTTATAGTCTATGTGAATTATTCCTTCGGTGATTAATTTCACATCATTTCCCCCCCAACTCCAAAATTGTGGCCACAGTTCCCCAAAGAAGCCAAGGTCTTTCAAGTCTATTCCCTCAGTCTGACATAGACTCTTCACCAATATATGCCCAACTGCCACTTTCTACCAGTAGAAACTTATAATTATATCTAAAGATCCATATTTAAATGTAGTATCTCTGAAATATTTTCCAACTCTGATTAAATAATCATCACACAGTTTCTTGTACTTACACAATAGTGCAGATATAAATCTCTTTTAGCATATAATATACTGTATTTTCACAGTTTCTATGTGATTTTCCATTACCTGGAGTATAAATTATTCACAAGTACTTTATTTTGCAATATTTGACATATCTCTAGTGGACATTAACTGATTCAGTTTATGTTGGACAGATTAATTGTTAAATAAGTCCAACTGAATAATGTTTAAAATTCCATAGCCAAATCTTTTCTTTACAGGAACTTGAATGAAGGATTCCAAAACAACTAAGTGAGGCTGATAGTATTCATGAGTCCAAAAACTCTTGGAGGTCTCCTTCAGATAGCATTGCAAATGAGCATTATTCTCACCATGCCATCCTAACTGCACTAACATATAGAGAACAAAATCAGTAGTATCAGTACACAATTACAGTAGGCCAAATAATTGTTCTAGATCTGTTTTAAAAGTGCCTGTTCTGTCTCTGGATAGATTTAAGTAAATATTTATAATATGAGAAAGGAGAACAAAAATGAAACTATGATTTTGTGGAGAATTCCTTAAGGAATTGACCAGAAAACCTGTCAAAGTTTTTGCTTGTTTGTTTGTTTTTAAGTTCATTTATTTATTTTTTTTGGGGGGGGGGG